AGGAGGAGGAGGAGGAGGAGGAGGAGGAGGGGAGGAGGAGGAAGAGGGTGCCACGATGGTTCCACCTCGCCAAGTGCTGCGGCCCGCGGATGCATGACACGCTTGCAGTCACAGGAGACTGTCACCCTGTATGGCAGGAGCCCAGATTTAGTAGGATCGCTGAAAGGCGATAACTCTACTCGAATGTAAGTATCGAGGAGCAGGGGTGTGAGATCCCCGAGCCGTTGCTCACCAGGACAGTCCGGAAGTTCTGAGCGGATCCTCTCCGTCCTTGGGCCGTGACCTGGGCAAACCCATTCACTCAGCCCTACCCTGAAGGGCTTGCCAGTGGGAACCCGATATTGAACCCGAACTGTGAATCTCTGCTGACCCTCCACTTCCTCCTCCTTCTCTGCCTCCTGTGCCTCCTCCTCCTCATCATCATCACCATATCAGCATCATCAGCATCATCCTGATCCTCATCCTCATCCTCATCATCATCCTCATCATCAGCAGCAGCACCATCATCCTCATCCTCATCATCCTCATCATCATCATCATCATCATCATCATCATCATCATCATCATCATCATCATCATCATCATCCTCATCAGCATCATCACCATCATCATCATCATCATCATCATCATCATCATCATCATCATCATCATCATCATCATCATCATCATCATCACCTTGATCAGCATCATCAGAATCAACAACAACACCAACAACCACAACAACAGCAACAAGAGCAGCAGCAGCGGCATCCTCCCCCTCATCAGCATCATCACCATCACCATCACCAGCATCATCAGCAGCATCAACAACACCAAAAACAACAACCACAACGACAACAACAACCACAACAACAGCAACAACAAGAGCAGCAGCATCATCCCCCTCATCATCATCATCAGCGCAGCAGCATCATCATCATCATCATCATCAGCAGCAGCAGCAGCAGCATCAGCATCAACACCATCCTCATCACGATCATAAGCGTAATCACCATCATCATTACGATCATCAGCATGATCATCATCATCATCAGCAGCATCATCATCATCATCATCAGCAGCAGCATCATCATCATCATCATCATCATCACCACCACCACCATCATCATCATCAGCAGCAGCATCATCATCATCAGCAGCATCAGCATCATCATCATCATTATCATCACCACCACCACCACCATCATCATCATCACCATCATCATCATCATCACCATCACCATCATCATCATCATCATCATCATCACCACCACCACCACCACCGCACCACCACCACCACCACCACCACCACCACCACCATCATCATCAGCATCATCAGCATCATCAATCATCATCAATCCTCCTCCTCCTCCTCCTCCTCCTCCTCCCTCCTCCTCCTCCTCCTCCTCCTCCTCCTCCTCCTCCTCCTCCTCCTCCTCCTCCTCCTCCTCCTCCTCCTCCTCCTCCTCCTCCTCCTCCTCTCCTCCTCCTCCTCCTCCTCCTCTTCCTCTCCCCCACCGATCCCTACCTATTTCCCTCCCTCTCCGCCCCTCCCTGCTTCCCTCCCCCAGTCTCCATCCCTGTGTGCCCCTCCCCGCTCACCTCCCTGCCGATCTCCCTCCCTCTTTCCCTCGTCCCCTCCCTCCCTATGTTTAGGTCGGGCGTGTCCCCCTGCAGGCGGATTTTGGGCGAAAAATTGAAAATACCAAAAGAAATGCCCCCAAATTGTCTACCAATAATCACAAATCAATTCCCAGACTATTTTCCTTACTATCTTTGAAAATTCCTCCTGTGGAGGCACACGCCCGATTTAACCCTATGTCCCTCCCCACTCGCCTCCCTGCCGACCTCCCTCCCCCTTCCCCTCTTCCCCTCCCTCCCTATGTCCCTGCCCTCCCTCCTCCCTCCCCTCCCGCCCCATGTCCCTCCCTATGTTCCTCCCTCTTTCCCTCTTCCCCTCCCTCCCTGTGCCCCTCCCTCCCACACCCCTTCCTCGCACGCGGGAGAGGGGCCGCGACGAGCCTGGGCTTCGGCCGCGCCGCGTGGCCGAAGCGGAACTCCAGGTCCGCGCCCCGCGGCGCCCCGTCGTCCGCGCCTGCCGCGCCCACCCCTCCCTGGCGCGCGGCGCGCACAAAGGGGTGGAGGGAGGGGGCGCTCTTGAAGGCGCCCAGGGACGCACAAACAAATACACGCAAATCCCAGGAGTCCCCATAGATTTTTATATATTTTCTGGAGTTTCCCCTTCCCCTCCGCTGTTTCTTAGAAGGCGCCGGTCTTACTACATCTATACATAAGGCCCGCGCCTTCTAAGGAGCAGGGGTGCTTCTAAGAAGCCCTCCCCCTCCCCCCCCCCCTCTGCGCGTGGCTGATCCTTGGCACGCGGCGCGAGGGGGGCGGCGATGACCGGCGTCCCTGAAGGCGCCCAGGGACGCACAAAGAAATGCACACAAATCCCAGGAGTCCCCAGTTGATTGTTTCATACATTCTGGAGTCTCGCCTTCCCCCCCCACTTCCACTTCCCATGTTTACCATATTTCTCATGGGAATCGACGACTATATGTGTCTGTGTTTTTTCCCCTCCTGAGTTATGGGGTGGGGAGGGGTGGCGGCGGGGCGGAGCATCACTCACCTATACGACCACCCTGCGCGTGATAAGGAGGCTGAATGGGGGGAAAGAACCAATCTACGACAACTGCAATGGCTGCGATGATGGCGATTCCGGTGGTGCACCCTCGAGTTGGCGACGACCCGTGGTGACGATGCTGCGTCGAGATATCGACCCCATTCGATCGACCTCACCATCGATCGATCTCACTATCGACCTCACGGCCAATCCCACTGTCGATGGATCCAACTAGCGATCCCAATATCGAGCTCACAATGGGGGGGTCTCTGCGACCCACCCAACTCTCCCTATGGTCGAGACACCATCGAAACATCATCGAAACACCGTCAGGACATCCATCGGGACACCAATCGGGGCAGCATCGGAGCACCACTCTCACTATCGATCTCACTATCGATCTCTCTACCGATCTCACCATCGATCTCACAAAGAGACACGACAGGACACCGACGGGACACAGACGGGACACCCGCGGGACACCAACGGGACACCGACGGGACACCGACGGGGCACCAACGGGGCAATATCACAGTCGATCCGGTGGCTGACATTGAAAACAGTTTGGCGCATCGGGTTCTCTGCGACCCCTGCCCCAGGTCTCCCTATGGACACCGCCTGGACACCATCGAAACACCATCGAAACACCATCAGGGCACAGTCAGGACATCCATCGGGACACCAATCGGGGCAGCATCGGAGCACCACTCTTACTATCGATCTCACTACCGATCTCACTACCGATCTCACCATCGATCCCACCAGGAGATACCACAGGACACCGACGGGACACTAACGTGACACCGATGGGACACCCGCGGGACACCGACGGGACACCGACGCTACACCGACGGGGCACCGACGGGACACCGATGGGTATCACAGTCGATCCCGTGGCTGGTGGTGCTGACATTGAAAACAGTTTGGCGCATCGGGTTCTCTGCGACCCCCCCAAGTCTCCCTATGGACACCCCGAAACACCCACCACCAGGACACAGTCAGGACACCCATCGGGACACCAATCGGGACATCATCACTATCGATCTCACGATCGGTCTCACCATCGATCCCACCATCGATCTCACCAGGAGACACCACAAGACACCGACAGGACACCGACGGGACACCAGCGGGACATCGACGGGACACCGACGGGAGACCACGGGACACCACGGGACACCAATCGATCTCACTTTCGATCTCACTATCGATCTCTCTATCGATCTCGCTATCGACATCACCACGGGACACCGACGGGACAACGACGGGACACCCACAGAACACCGACGGGACACCACGGGACACCGACGGGACACCAACGAAACACTGACGGGACACCACGGCGGGACAACCCAGCCACCGCCCGCCCATCGCGACGAGACACCGACAGGACAACAACGGGACAACGAACACGGCGGGACACCCGGGACACCGCCGGACCACCCGAGGGGTGGAGGACGGGTCAACGGCTCTGACCCGTCCTAGCCACAGCAGAGTCATTCCTCTCACCCGCCCACGCAGCTTCGCCTCGCCCGCACGCACGACACGAACCCGAAACCGAAACCGATTTCCCGGCGGGGGGCTCTCCGTTTCACTTCGATCTCGCCCCCCCACCTCCGATGCAACGGGCGGAGTTCGGCCTGTCGACGCAACGTGAGGGCTCATCTGAACCACAGCAGTGTCTGGGAATCTCCTATGTCCCGCAGGTGCCAAGACATCATCAAACATCAGCACAAGCTGTATTTGGGGTCACGCTCCGTCTGGCGGCAAGAAGCCACGGGTGCCCCAACAAACCACCCTGGCAGGGGGGGCACCATTGAACATATCATGTTCCCCTCTCTCATCCCACAGGGCGGGACCCACCTGATGAAAGCGAAGTCAATTTAGGTAAAGCAGAAGATTGGTAGGACTCCATCTCCCCTCAAGTCCCTCCATCCTCACCACGCGAACAGCAATGTGGTAAGATCTGGCGTCTTCTAGGCTTCACTCGAGCCACTCTGCTTCGCAGGGTCAGGAAGGGGTTACGGGCCAAGAAAGAGCGTGCGGTGGGGTAAGGTGACGACTGCCTCGAGGGACGACTTGGTATGTCCAAACGTCTCCTGGGTCCTCAGTCCTCAGGAGCGAAGTGGGCCTGGACACAAAATTCAAGGACTCTAGAGGGCCCCAAGAAGACCCCATGATAGCCCCAAGGATCCCCCAAGAGGCTCTCATAATGAAAGGTCCGACTCCCTCCTGCTCTTCCTCCTCCTCCTCCTCCTCCTCCTCCTCCTCCTCCTCCTCCTCCTCCTCCTCCTGGTTGTCCTCCTCCTGGTCCTCCTCCTCCAGTCTGATCCGCAACCCTGGCACGCATCCAGCTTTGAGGCGCGTGTCCACCGGGGCCAGGCGTGTCGGGCAGTGGCCCCCAGCACAGCACTCGTGGAAGCCTCCGCGAGTCTGCGGGCGAGCTGCCCCTGACCCAGCACTCGGGAGGGTCGCACGGTACGGGCCGCCTTGCGCCTCGGGGAGGGGGGAGGGAGGCGAGCATGCAGCCTGGAGCCAGCCTCCTGCACAGACCAGCCCCTGGGAGCCTCGGAGCCCTCCTGCTCGTGCTCTCCCTCTTCCTCGTCTTCCCTCCCTCATTCCACCTCCTCGTCCAGCACCTCTCGTGGAGATCGCTTTTCTGGATGGACTGGTGGGGACAGGCGAAGCGTCAAGAAGTTGCGCCCCTGAAGCTTACAAAAACTCCCAGGGCTGGCTGGATGGAGGGCTGGTCGCTTCCAAAATGCAGCTCTCGTCCTAGCGCTGCGCACAGTCGTTCGTAAAAAAACTACCATTGAACATAGAGGGCCAGTGGTTTCCAGAACGTGGCTCTCGCCTTCGCACCGAGCGCACAATCGCTCGAAGTGTTTCGAACCGCGGCGTGGATGGAGACCAGCTCGTTTTCAAAATGCTGCTCCCGCGTGGGAGCTCCGTGGGAGCTCCGCAGTGATCACGACATTCACGACCAGGACCTCGAAATGATGTAGCATGTTTGCACAGATGGAGGGCTAATCCTTTTCAAAACCGGGCCATCTCTGGACACTATCTTGCGTTGTGTTGCTATATGCCTCTCTGCACTTCTTCTAGCCAGAAAGATGAAAGGCTTGATCCTTTCTTCAAAACGGGGACTCGCCTCCACCACGGGCCCGTTATCCAAGGGGGGCGCTTCCCGCTGTGGGAAGGAATACCCGGAGAGACTAAAATGAGGAGAAGGAGGAGGGGGAGGAAGAGGAGGAGGAGGAGGAGGAAGAGGAGGAGGAGGAGGAGGAGGAGGAGGAGGAGGAGGAGGAGGAGGAGGAGGAGAGGAGGAGGAGGAGGAGGAGGAGGAGGAGGAGGAGGAGGGAGGAGGAGAGAGGAGGAGAGGAGGAGGAGGGAGGAGGAGGAGGAGGAGGAGGAGGAGGAGGAGGAGGAGGAGGGGGGGAGTGGGCAAGCTCCGTCGGAAGGTTAGTCGCTCGGGGACTCGAGGCGGAAGGGTGTATTGCAGAATCGTTGACGCATCCTGGGTTTACTCTGGTCCTACAGCTCCCTCTCCCGCTCCGTCCGCTCTTCATCCCCCAAGTGTTCCCCGAAGGGCTTCCACAACGGCTGGGGGAACACATGATCCGATAGATTGGCCAAGCTTATGCCAAACCTTTGGTCACATGGGAGTTTCTATAAAGGCAGGGACACTGGTGACTCGCTGTACGCGTCGCCGATGCTGCAAGTGCCTCTGGGCGGAGGGACGACGAGTGATACAAAGACCAGAAAGTGTGAAGAAGGGTAGTCAGCCAGAGGGAGGGGTGATGAGTGAGAAGTGAGGAGCGAGGACGGAGGAGGAGGAGGAGGAGGAGGAGGAGAAGGGGGAAGAAGAAGAATGGATGAAAAGGATAATGAGAGGGAGAGGGAGATAGGAAAACTGAACCGATTCACTTTGTGTGGCCCGCGCGGATCCACCACATCGAGCCGGCCCCAAGGCCCACCGAGCAAGAGTGCTCCAGGCAGTGACTGCCCACCGCCTCCACGATGCCTGGGTGCGCCGCGGAAAACCCGCACCCGACCAGCATCCCCGAGCCGCCCTCGAGGACGGCCGACCAATACCGCAGCTCGGCGCTCAGCAGCTCGCGCTGCTCCCCAGGCGGCTCAGGGGGCGCGCCCCACGCGGGGCACGTTAGCACCAAGAGGCCGAGCCTCGACGCCGGCACCATCTCCGGGGGCCCGACGGCAACCCGCCCCTCGGCCAACCCTAGGCGCCCCGCCCAGTGCGCCGCCCCGGCTGGCACCGCAGGGCCCTCCCCGGGGCCACCGTACTCTGGCGGCTCGACGGCGAACACAGGGGCCTCAGGGGGGACGTAGAAGGACATACTATGTAGTACTAGGTGTCCTCCTCGGAGGCGTGTGTCCGAACCGAGCATACAGTACAACTGTGTTGTAGTATATCGTTTCCCAAGCGCTATGGCCAGAAAGCGCCCGCCACGAAGTTTATGCCACGAGATGTCTCGGCGCGGGCGTCGCCCCCCGGGGGGACGACGCACACGTAGCATCAGTATGTTGGGGTAACGCTGACCTCAGGGCCCTCGTGCCCCAGGAGCTCCGGCGAGTCTGAGAGCAAGGAGTAGCCGCTCACGATGGCGATGGAGGGTTCCTCTCCCGACATGGTGGCAAGGAGCTGCCGGAGGACGTCGCTCCTTCGGCAGCACATCTCCTGGGACAGGTGAACACGTGGGAATCCGCAAACGTGTGCCCAGCGCGGTAGTCATTCTCCAGGAGCCAACCCCCTCGCCGAAAACCTTCCCAAATCCCCCTCAAAAAAAAATGATGGTTCTAGGCGCCCTCTCGGCCTCAATGAGGATCAGACACGACCGAATTACTGACCCAAGATGGCTGTCATGTGCCCCGAAACA